AGAGGCACCAGGGTGTTGGCCAAGCCAGGAGGCACCAGGGTGTTGGCCAAGCCAGGAGGCACCAAGCCTTGGCAGCACCGTGCCATCCCCGGCACTCACCCCCCTTCCCCCCTGACTCACATCATCGTAGACCTTCGTGGAAGACTCGATGTAGGTGGATTTGTCTTTGAAGGTGACACGAGGAAACACTCCGGCCACCTTGTTCTCACGGTCCAGCTGCCGGAAGAGAAGGGAAAAGCGTCACCCAAGAGGAGTGGTGGCATCACCAAACCCCACCACACCCTCACCCGCTGCTCACCCGGACATCCATGACCTTTGTGATCTTCCAGAGGTCGATGAGGAGCCCGATGAAGACGCTGACTTGTACCACGAAGTTGGTTTCGTTGTCCAAGATGTAAAGAAGGACGACGAGGGACTGGAAGACGCCGAAGAAGACGGAGCGGACGGAGAGACCTTCCAGAGACTGTCGGCTGTTCCAGAACTGGATGTCTGTCAGGAAAGAGCTCAAGGTGTCACCTCATCCAGAGGAGAAGAGGAAATCCTCTGTGCCAGAGGTTCTGGAGAGCTCCTACAGCCCATGCCATGGTTGAGGGAACAAGAGGAGGAGGTGGCACCATCGCCGCGGCCGAGGAGACACCACGTCTGGTATCAGGGGACTCAAAAAACCCCACGTTTCCAGCTTTCTGCCCTCAAATTGTCCCTGTGGCACAGAGGAGAGCGGCAGAGGAGCCTCAACCCACACCACAGCACCCACAGGACGTGGTTGGATGAAGATGTAGCCAAGGAGAAGAGGACTCGTGGCAGTGAGGACATCAGCTCCACCACCACCACGGGGACAAGAGGAGACAGTGGAGGGGTTGAGGCCACAGCATCCCCCTTTTCCACCCCTCATCTCTCCACAAATCACCAAGGTCCTCACCATTTTTGAAGGCCAAGAACTCAAAGATGCTGTGGACGATGGAGACGACGATGGTCAGCGCCAGCAGGTAGGGGTTGGTCTCCAGGAGAGCGACCTGGAACAGGCATCAAAAACCTCTCAGAGCTTCTCACTCCAAAGCACCAGCAAACAGGGAAGGTCCAGGAGGATCCATGAGCACCAGAGCACTGAGGAGACATGAGGTTCTCACCTTCACCGAGTCCTGCTCCTCATCTGATTGCTCGTAGAGGTCTTCTCCTAAGAAATTCCAAGGGGATTTGGTGCTCTGGGCGGCGTAGAGCTGCCAGCGCCACAGGGAGAGGGGGCAGAAGGAGAGGCGGAAGGGCAGGCGCTGCAGGGTCTCGTTGATGGGGAAATAGTCCTTCTGCAGGTTCCAGTAGTCGTTGAAGTAGAGGATGGGGTAGTAGTCACCACTGATGGCATCAAACTTGACATCTGGAGCCAAGGGGGAAAGAGCAGAGGGAGGGCTGAGAAGGTGACAGGGAGCAGAGAGTGGCTGAACCCCAGCCCAGCCTGGGAGGAGCTCCTGGAGACGTGGAGGTCACGTTGATGAGGGAGAAACAAGCCCCTGTTCTCCACAGGAGCCCAAACTCATCCTCAAAGAGCCAGGACAGCCCCCAAAAGCCACCCTGGGAGCTGAGGAGCCCCAGCACGTCCCAGCCCTTACACTGGTCCAGGGGAGGTGGGACGCTGCCCTTCACCCAGGGCGTGTGGTCGTCCACCATGTTGATGGTCAAGTTGGGGTGCCAGTGTGAGATGACTTCCACAGGACCATAGTCTTCTGCCCTCTGCAATGAGAAGATCACCACGTGTGAGCAGCACAGTGCCTGGTGTCCCTTCATCTTATCAAATCCCAC